CCTCACCTTTCCTGATACCTGCATCCAACTCAACCAACCACCAGCATCAAACCACTCACCCATCCTCTATCCTGCAGTCTCCCAGGAACCTTCTACCTTATCCTCAACTAAGATCCTGGGACCCTTCCAAAAACCCGTTCCCCACTTCATCCCAATTACCCGACATCAGCTAGAAGGGCCATCCACCCAACATTATTCCAGGGGCCCCAACATTACCCATTACTCACAAGGACCTGTTACTCAGCGACCTTGAATGTCATTGAATTATTCCCTCTGATGTGCTACATACCCCACTGACTGTCATCACCCATGGTGACCCCTGACCTCACTCCTACCCACCCCTGACATTTACCCACTAAACCTTTTCATCATCCTATGACCTCCCGGCATGATTCCCCAAGCCCCCACCCCCACTAATTACATTTCAGAATTCCTACACTCGTCTTCTCCGACTCCCACAACACCCTTGACTCCCTCTAGCCCCCAACCTGAGGGCACCAATCCCTGTCACTTCTCTGACCCCCAGTACTCTTCACTGGCTTCTAGAATCTGCCCCACTGATCCTCAACATTCTGTCCCCATTTCTGCTACCCAGGTTTCAACCCTAACCCCTCCCCCCGCTGAGACTCCCTTCCCTACTTCTGTTCCCTCTCCCAGCCAGCCTGACCCCCACCTCCCCATCCCAGGACAGGTCTGATCCCTGGCGACCACGCTCCCCTAGCCCAGGGTTCCAAGGAGCTCACCACGCCCCTGGTCAACCAATGGCCATCACTGGGAACGCTCAATGGGGCTGAGGGTGTCAGCAACCCCAAGCTGTACCGGAGGTAAGCACAGCTGGGCTCAGCTTGGGCCTGAGTGCTGGGCCCTCCGTGGGGAGAGGGGCCTGGGGGGCGGTGAGCCTCTGCCCAGACACCAGCTCTCTATCTGTCACAGACACAGCTTCATGAGCACGGAGCGGCTGTCAGCTGAAGCCAGTCTGAGCTCGGACTCCCAGCGCCTGGGAGAGGGCAAACAGGATGAGGAGCCCTGGGGCCCCATCGGTGAGCCCCCCATGCAGCACCCCGCATGCCTCCAGGAAGGGCTCAGGCCAGGCCTTGGGGCTTGGAGTCGGGCCCTGGTCAATTCCCTTTAACTCAGCCCTTCCAGAGAGGTTAGCACAGCAATTCAGAGCTTGGTTTGGGGTGCAGGGCAGCCCCTAGTGCACACCCCAGCGGCGCCTCCTCTGGAGCTTGGTCAGTATTCACACCGCTGAGCTTCTCGTCTGTAAGCGGGGATGCTGACCAGTGATCGTTTTGGCAGGTGGAAGGCCCAATGGCTTTTTGTCAGGACTTCCTCAAGGGGTTCCAATGCTCGGGGAGTTCTCTGCCTAATTTGCTCGTATCTCATGCGCTCTGTGAACCACGTGCCTGACCCTTGTTTCCCCCTTTTTCTTCGGCTGCCAGGAAGCTCTGAGCCAAATTAGTGGCTCCCTTCAAGCGAATGCCCCGGACTTCAACGCATGCATTTTGTGTTGCCCTCCCCGTGGCCTCATCTTGGTTTCCCACCCTAGTTTTCCCGGTGCCTGGAGGTCATGTCTTTTCTAAAAACCACTGGACTGGATGACCCTAGATCTCGAGACAAGGCAGGCTGTGAACGTGACCCTGCCACACTGTTTGTGATTGTCCATGTGTCTGTCTCCCCACCAGACTGTGAGCTCCTTGAGGGCAGGGGCTGTGTCTAGTCCGTTCTCTGTACCCCCAGTGCTTGGAACAGAACAAGTGCTCACTATGTGTTTAATAAACGGACAGAGAGAGGGAGAACCTCGGGGAGACAGAAACACAAACTGACGATTACAATAGTGTTCCCTGTGCGGTGCATGGCACAGGCAGGTGCTTAACCAGGTCAATGGAAATGGCAAATGCTGCGGAAATGAGGCATCTCCTGGTGGGGTAGTCTGATCCCAAGGCCCGACCCCGGCAGACTGGTTGGCCTGGCCTCACCCACCCTCTCTCCCCAGGGAAGGACCCCACGCCCTCCATGCTGGGCCTCTGCGGCTCCCTGGCCTCCATCCCCAGCTGCAAGTCCCTGGCGAGCTTCAAATCCAACGAGTGCCTGGTGAGCGACAGTCCTGAGGGCAGCCCAGCACTGAGCCCCAGCTGAACAGTGTGGGTTGTGCCAGCCCCACCTGCCAGGGCATAGCCACCTGCCGCCTTTCCTCAGAGCCCCCCCCATCCAGGCCGCCTGCCAGAGACTGCTGCCCACCCAGCCAGGTGTCTCTTGGCAACAAAACCTTTTGCTTCTGGTTTTAGCTTCCTGCCCAAGGAAGCAGGGTGACCAAGGGAAGCCTGTTGGGTAGGAAGGTGGGGTCGCCAAGGCCACGAAGTCCTTGGGGAAGCTTGCTCCATGCTTCTGGTGACCGTGATGCCTGGCTGCTCCCTCCTGGGACTCTCCCCATCTTCCCCACCCTCCTCAGGAGCTGGTGGCCCAGCCTCAGCCCCTTCATCTCCCCCCCCTCTCCTGTCCTGTATTCATTCCCTGGAGTCACTTCTTCCTCAGCCCCCAGTGCAGGGGCTCTGAGGGGATCAGGCAAATAAAAACCAGAGGACTGAGGGAAGCCTTGTTTGTGGGGGCTGGGACAGGACCCTGTCCTGAGGTTGGCAGAGCCAGTGCTGGGCCCACAACCGACATGATGCTGCACCACAGAATCAGAGTGCGCCCTGGGGAGCAGGCGGGCCAGGATGGTTCCGGAGTGGGTGACTTCTGTATGAAGCGTCCTGAGTACTAGTCCACCCAGAGCAGGACCAAGACACATAAATACCCCTTCAACCTGACACTCTAAGAACTTGCTCAACTCCAGGCAGAAGAGACTGAACATCGTGGGGGTGGGCAGGACGGAGGAGGCAAGGCCTGGGAGGGCCGTTCTCCATCATCCTGCACAATTGAGCTTTGGCCCAAAGTTGCAGACCCTCCCGTTAGGCCAAAGCCTGGCAGTGAAGAACCCTCCCTCCTGTCATACTCAAGTGTGCCCTTGGGGAGATGCCTCACCATCCTCTACCCTGGCCCTAACACTATCAATGTTACTGTTGACATTCCCCCCCCCCCAACTCCGGGTCCTCGCTAAACTGGGGGGTCCTTCACATGAGCATCACCCAGGCAGCCAAAGCCTATACCCACCAAGATCCCTCCAGGCCTCCTCTAGGCAAATCACTCACCAAGTCCTGCTTCCCCCAACCCCAGTGTCCCCTGCCCCTGTAGACACAGACACGGGAGAAAAATTCATCATCTTTACACTCAGTGAATTAACAGCAGTAGGTTCAGACTGGCCAGGTCCAGGGTTCTGTGGGCCTTGGGGGCAGCAGGCCCAGCTACAACAAACACGGGAAAATGGGCAAGAGGGCAGGGGGAGGAGAGAGTTAACAGATTTGGTCTTGAACTTGGGGGGTTGGGTGGAAAAGTGATGATCCTTGGGGCTTGGGATGAGGACCAGCAGGAAGAAAGTTGTCTGATGGGGGCCTGGGCAGGCCCAACGGAGGGGCTGGTACCCTTGGGGCTGAGCTGAGAGGGGAAAAATGAGGCCCCTCCCCTGAGGACAAGGCACTTGGCTCAGACTCCTCCTGGCCCACACCATCCATGGGAGAGATGGGGCCCTCCTCCCCGCGCTCCTCTCACTGGCTCAGAGGCTGTTCCAGGTTGAGCCTCTGAAAGAAGCTTTTGCCCAACTCGTATGTGCTGATCATGATGGCACAGGAGGGGGCGGCCTTGATGATCCTTGGGAGGAAGCCTGCAGTGGGAGGGCAAGGCTGGGGTCAGAGGCTGGGTCCCAGAGGACCCCGACCTCACCAGGGCCTGGACACAGACACTCACCTGCAAAGAGTCCCCTGGTGCCGGACTCAGCCCGGATCCTCCGCAGCAGCAGCCAGGTGGAGTCGGCGTGCACAGGTGACACTGCAGACACAGGCACGACCCAGTAAGACCCCACGTGGACCCCCACCTGCCCCCACACCACGCCAGCCAAACCCCTCACCTCTCACAGCTTCCACGGCTCCCAGCGCAACCTGGCGTTGAGTCTTCACCACATCGAAGGGTAGAGTCAGGATGGCAGCCACCTGGTGGGGAGGGGAGGGTTCATCTCCATTCCCGGGACCCCCATCCCTGGCACCCAGCCTGAGTCTGCCAGCCTTATCACCAGGGAGGGTGAGCTTGCTTCTCAACAGGCAGCTACTGCACTGCCATGCAAGGACACCTCTGCCAGCCTCACCCCCAGCCCAGTCAACTCACCGTTCCTGAGATGCCACCAGCCACAAAGCTGATGCCCACCGACGTCTGGTCCTTTGGCCTGTGCCCACTCAGCCAGCTCTTCACCAGCTCATAGTTGAACCAATACAGGGCTTGGGGGCACAGGATACACTCATTAGAGATGGGGAAGGCCGAAGGGTGGGCCCCATACCACCCTCTTCCACTGACCTATACCAGGACAACCACTCCCTCCCAGTTAAGAGGCCTGTTTGCTACACTAGTTTCTGTAACAGGTTCTCTGCAGGAATTATCTCCTGAAAACCCGGGCAAATACCCTGTATACTGAGCCCATTTCACAGATGAGATAGGGCTCAGAGGAGTTCAGTGACTTCAAGGTCAGTAGACTCAAAGTTGGGACTGGGCTGTAGACCTCTTGTGCACCATCCAGGGGCTCCCTTACCCCATATCCCCTGCCCCCTGGTGCCTACCTGAAAAGGGCACATCCCGAAGAGCAGTGGGGCCCCAGCCCAGCCAGAGTGAGCGCCAGCCGCCCTGAGCTACGGCGGTTCGGACACAGGCACCCAACTCCCGGTATGACACATGCTGAGCCTGCAGCTTTGTCCGTAGCAGCTCTAGGGGGCTTATCACAGTCACGGTGCCCACTGTGGGGAACAACGGGGAGGGATCAGCTCACAGGTCCTTATGGCAGTTTGCCCCAGGGTCTGGGAGCCCAAGACATCTCCCCACCCCTAAGTGGGCAGAGAGTGAAGCTGGGAGCTCGGACTGAGCTCAGGCAGAGCTGGGGCCAAAGGGAGATCAAGGGCCCAGGGCTGTGCTCACAGCGGGCCAATGCACCAGCCACCATGGGTGCATAGAAGTCAGAGGTCAGGGCTCGACCACACAGGAAGGCCTTGAGTTGGTCATAGGCCGTGAAGTAGATGGCGGTTGCTGGCACAGTCATCACCCTGGGGGTGTGAAGAGATGTTAGCTGGGACTTCCAGCGCCCCCGGACTTCCCTGCCCAGCCAGCCAGCCTACAGGGGAGCGAGAGGTCAGCAGGGCATCAGGGAAGACAGCATGCAGGACGGGTACTCACAGGGTGGCTGGGAGGCCACTCCACAGGGTCCTGGTGCCCTCGTGTCTCACAATCTTCACAAAGGCATCCTGGCCAAGAGGACATCAGCCCCGAGTGGGAAGGACGAACAAGAAAAAGGCCTGTGAAGGGGCTGGCCCAGGCTGGGCCCTAACCCGATGCCCTTGCCTCTGCCCACAGCCCTCAGGTCTTCACACATGCAAGTCCCCATTTGACTCCAGGTGGACTGCTGGTCACCCTTCAAAGCCACATGGAGGGCACTACCTCCTCAGGGGAGCCTTTCCCCCATGGAACTGGCTGCCACATGTTTGCCGTATTCCTTCCTTCCTGGGCCTGCTGCCCAGCCATCTATCCCTCGGGAATTCTGACAGACCCAGCTGCGGGCACAGCGGCTCCTCACCATGGTGCCGGTGAAGCGAGTGGGGTCCTGAAACCAGGTGGCACAGCGGGCACCGTTTGGGCACAGGTACAGGGGTTCCAGGACGCCATTGCAGTAGAGGAGGCACTTCCCTGTGGGTCGGAGAGAGGAGGGCACTGGGGAAGGGGAGGGACATTGAACGCCATGGCCCTGGAACCCTGCGGGGAGGTGGTGCGCCCCTGTCCCGGGAGGGCCGGCAGAGGCTGGGGTCCTCGGGGGGTATTCTCGAGCAGGACAGAGGGTGGCTGGTAGGACCTGGAGGCACTCCCTCCCGGGACCCCCCGGATCCCTGTGGCCGAGGCACTCACATTTGGTGTAAGAGAGGCTCCAGAGTCTGGAGGGAGGCACCGCATCTAAAACACAAGGCGGCCCCTCAAGTCAGGAGAGCCCCCCTCCCCCAGGGACCCCACCTCTAGGAGGTCCTGGTGCGCAGGCACCGCCCCCTCCCGGTTCCAGGGCTGGACACTCACCGCTGGGCACCGAGGGCCGCTGAGACTGCAGGCGGACCTTCACCACGTCCAGGGGGGTCACTAGGGGAGAGGGCGGGTCTGAAGGCTCCTTTCCAGACGCCACTCCGGACACCCCGTCCAGGCTCTGTCCCCCCCTCTCCTGCCTCCCCCGCCCCCCACCTCCCCAGCGGGTCTTACTGAAGATGGAGGTGACCACGGCCCCGGCGCCTGAGGCCACCATCTGCTGGAGGGGGCTGATGCCCCCTGGGTCCCGATCAGCCATCTTGTAGCTTCAATTCTGCAAAACAAAGCTCCAGCTCACCCACCAGCCATCAGAGGCCGCGAGCACCGAGGCAGGGCGCTCGCCGACTTGACTCTCGCCTCTCACCCCATCACTCACTGCGGGAGAGAGCCCGTTTCACCGCCGCTCCTGTCCCCCCACCCGGCCC